GCGAGGGGCGGGGGGGGTCTGGAAAGGGTCTGTGGGGGTTCTGGGGGTGGGTCTGGGAGAGTACTCGGGGGGGTCTCGCAGGGTCTGTGAGGGGTCTGGGAAGGGTCTGGAGGGGTCTTGGTGGGGGGTCTGGTAGAGTTCTCGGGGGGTCTCGGCAGTGGATGGAGAGAAGGGAGTGGATGGAGAGCAGGCAGTGAGCAGGCAGAGAGCAGGGAGCAAGCAGAGAACAGTGAGCAGGGAGCAAGCAGGCAGTCAGCGGGTAGCACTCAGTATGTGAGGTCACGTCTGGAATCCTGTGTTCATTTCTGGGCCCCTCTCTTACAAGGAGGACATTGAGGTGCTGGAGCGTGTCCAAAGATGGACAACGTAGCTGGTGAAGGGCCTAGAACACAAGTCTGATGAGGAGTGATTGAGGGAACTGGGGTTGTTTAGCCTGGAGTAAAGGAGGCTAAGGGGAGACCTCATCTCTCTCTACAACTCCCTGAAAAGATGTCATAGTGAGGTGGGTGTCAGGCCCTTTTCCCAAGAAACAAGCAAAAGGACAAGAGGAAATGGCCTCAAGTTGTGACAGGGGAGGTTTAGATTGGATTTTAGGAAAAGATTCTTCACTGAAAGGGTTGTCAAGCATTGGGACAGGCTGCCCAGGGAAGTGATGGAGTCACCATCCCTGGAGGTATTTAAAAGATGAGTAGATGTGGCACTAAAGGACATGGTTTAGTGGTGGACTTGGCAGTGCTGGATTAATGGTTGGACTTGATGATCTTACAGGTCTTTTCCAAACTAAACAATTATATGTTTCTAAGCATAGCTGGAATTGCTCTCCACAGCCTGATGAACTCAAATGGTGTTTGACTATGCCAGGCTGCTCTGGGTAGAGGTGCTGCAATAGCAGTTGCCTTGTTTCAGCTTCCTTCCACCCCTTAGCTGCATCATAGCAGCAGCTTCATGAAATGGCAGCTCTGAATCTGTTTGCCAATGTGACTCAGAATGCCTGGGCACTGCCCTTTCCCTATCAGCTACCATCAGGATAGCACTACTTGTCCCACCTAGCTCCATCAGAACAGGCACTAGGGAGACTAAGAGATGCCAGGAGAAGATCAGAGGCAGATCTTCTGAACTAGCAAAGGTTCAAGGAGGCACATTTTTTCAACTTCCTGGTACACCTTTCTGAATGCATAACATGGAAAACCAGAGAGTGCAGAGGAGTCAAGAAACATTGCCATAGGCTAGGCATGCCAAATGCTGAACTAATTGTTTGAAGAAGCCCTGGGGGATTTGGAAGGTGTCATAGGAAAAGAATGTGGGCACAATTCAGTTTCCTAGCTACACTTACGGTTTTTTTTGTGAATGAAAGAGCTCTCTCTAGCATCACAAAAGAAAATACTTAAATAAAGTATCTAAGCAGTGCTAGCATAGACAACTAAAAGCTAGCTCTTGTCAACTCTGGAGAATTCTGGGACAATAAGAATTCAGTATGATAAATATGAGAATAACGAAAAAGAGGCAACTACTGCCTGTGGAGCACTAAGGAGTCAGCAGAAGATAGGGTGGGTGGAAACTGTCATAAAAAGTCAGTATCTTACTGAAGTCCACGACAGCTCTGACTCCAGTGGAGTTAGGAGCTTAAGTTCCCATGCTTTGAAGGCATTTTGTGGGTCTTTCTTACTGATAAGGTCCCAGAGGTTAATCAGAGATTAGTGGTTTTGTTAAACAATATTGTCTCTCTGTTAGTTTTATTTTCTGGCATTTATTGACTATGGAAGTTTATGCCTGTGTGTAATGGTTCCTTGGTTTCGATCATATAATTTCCATGAGTATATCTAGCGCACTGATAAACATAACCAACTTAACTGAAGACACAATGTTCCCAGATAGCATTTAGCTTGAAGCTTGCTGTGTTTGTGTCAGATCTGCCAAATGATTTTGTCGGATACTTCTCATAAAGCAGCTGATTTAATAAAAGATATCGATTCTTCCTACAAACATTGCCTCAAATGACTGTAGCTACAACCCTATTACTATTTGTGCTATAGTAAATACATTGTACTCCTCCAGGGTCTTCCATCTGAATGTTCCAGTCACTGGAGCAGAGTACACTGTGGCTGTACATGTGAATGTACGTGGACATTTGGCAGCTGCCCCGCTAGCCTGGACACTGTGAGCAGTGGGGCCATGTTAAACCAGACTTCCAGAAACATGAAACCCTCAAGATCTGTAGATTGGCTGGGTTGCTGGAGCTGAGCTCTTATTGCATTGTCTATGCTCCTGTCAGCACAACTAGTCCTTTAGCTGAAGGACAGTGCTGATAAATACCTTCATACCACCTACAACTACAGGGAAATCCCACTCAAAGAAAGATTTCTGGAGTCTGCTTTTTTGTTTACCCTGAGTTCAACAGAAAAAAGAAATCTTAAAACTTCACGCAGCTTATACAGAAGCCTTTCCTGCAAAATCATTCCAAAAGTGCAACCAAAAATGTAATGATAAAATGAATTTGTTTTGGTGTAGAAGTGATTTATGTTACTTACTGCAAATACTTTATCTTGGGTCACCTAAAGATGAATAGGTAGGAATAGAATGGGGAGTTTGTGTAGTAGAATTATCTTTGGCTATAAGACAGATTGCAAATAGACTCCATAAAGCCATAAACATGTGAAAGAAAAAGTTGTATTACCAGCCCATCCTGAGATCAGTATGCCAATAATGATGATGTATTGAAGCTCTGAGGACAGAGATGTGAGTTCATTACTTCTTTAACATGAGTGTTTTATTGTTTTACAATGTAGGACAGAGTGAGAGTGCAAAGCTCTTTCCCTGTTAAACTCCTGTTTTCCTTGGATTACCAGGAGTTTATGTTTAGCAGATTTTCCAAACAAAATACCTCACTCTTTCTTAGTGGTGTTTATGCTGCATGTAACATTACCCTTTGCTGGTGCATGCACTGGCAGGTTAAAATTAGACTTCCTAAATGTCAGTACAGCAGCTTGCTATTCTCTTACTTTAGCAAGAGTGTGCTGCTTTTATCTCTTGTGAATTTCTTGCCTATGTTTGTGTAAACAGCAAATAAGCAAAATCTTACCCAGATGATTAAGTATATATTTAAAGGATGCATGTTTTTTAAATTCAAGTTTCAATCTGTCAGTGATCAAAATAATAGTAAAAATACAATGTGGCAAATGGACTGCAGCTCATTATTCTAAAAGCAGGTTTTGTGCTATTACTCATGTCAATAATGATAGTTTCTAGTTACAGAAGTGCATTGCTTTAAAGAAATTTGATCACATGCGCCTGAGAATAAGAGTTGTTGTTTTCTTCCTTTAACTCTCAACAGAAATCTCAGTGTATAGGTGAGTTTTAATGCCTTTTAAGTAATTTTTTATGAACAGCATTACTTAAAAGAAGTAAAGCTCTTCTCATCCATTCACATCCCTCGTATGCAATTTGTGATGGTTTGGAACAGAACATGATAAACTGTGTACAAAAATGATTCTGAGTTTGGTGTCAAAATCCTCTGTATGTGTCAGAGTTGATCTGCATGTCCCAGCACGCAGTCTGATGTGGCAGGGGCATGAGAGGCAAGAAAATGTATTGGCCTGTAAAATCCCCGTGTTTCCATGTCTCCATGTGTGTGCAAGGAGGGTGTGTCTGTGACCCTGTGTATGTAATATGGTAACAACTGTGCAACAATATATTTTATATCTCTTTCAGCCACTGGATGTTAGTATCTTAAAATTGTGTTTCTTTCTGGTCTCATAAAACCTTTGGCTGACTGGTTCTGTCTAGCCGGGATTTCTTTTCTGGTTCCCTAAAATACCAGTGTCTTAATCCAATTTTTCCTACTCTAGCCTGACTCCATCTTGCTGGTGTTCTGCCCACATCTAGGAGAGAGCAGTCCCTCTGCCCTTGCCCTTGTGAGTGCTTACATACAGTTTCACTGAAAACACTATCTTGCCTACTGTCTCAAGGCTGAACAGCAAATAGAAAGCAAACATCTTCATTTATCACTTTACACACAGAGCAAAACAGAAAACACATTGCATAGTACACTTTGAGTTAGTCCCTGTCTCTGAGAAAACCTGTTCCTGATAGAAGGCAAGAAGACCTTGTTTGTTTTTACACTCTGATAAATGGCTTCCAAATCCAAGACTTTACATTAAAATGGACATTCTGAAACAGCACCCCTTTGATCTTCACAGTTAAAATATGAGCCTGTGATACAGTAAGTATACACACGCACACCTAAATCCCAGCATATGAGTATTTATTTGCATTGTATTTGAGGACACGGTGTTTTGCTATCTCATTTCCTTAGATACTAAAGAGAGTACTGATAGCTGTCACACACCTTGCTCTTTCCTCCTCTCTCCACCCAGCAAGCAGGATGCTTATTTTTGCATGGAAATGAGAGCTGGAAGACAGTTTAGCCCATCTCATTGTTACCAGGGGTTTGTTACTGACAGTATATTTACTGGAACTTCCTTCATGTTAGCAACTACAGAGTAGAGCTTACTCTCTTTCCTGAGACCTGTCATTCCTACAAAGTTGCTTCAGATATTCTGCCTACAATATCCTTTACTTACATCCATCAGAATGCTTTAATCATAATCTCTTGCACAAGCCCAAATAATCTTTTTCTCCTCAGGCTCACATCTTGCCATACACATAGCTCTCCATATGTTCCAGTTAAATTACACTTCCTTACCTTCTACTTTGAAGATAGTGAGGTGAGGTCTGCAGTGAAAAGCCCCCAGTGCGTTGCCAGCACAGTTCATCCAAAGACCCTGGAAAACCCAGGTTGCAGTGATAACAGACGATGCTCGACTAGTGACTTTCCACTCATTTGATGCAGTAGCAGCAATAGCAGCTCCCAGTCCACAGAAGCAAAAGATGAAAGCTATAATCTGTATTCCTAACATGTTTCGCTGTAATCCAGGGATTTAGCAATGCCACTGTGTGTGGAGAGAAAAGTGCTTTAGTCATGTGAGTAAGCAAAAAGGCATAACATAAGCAAATTATACTTGAACAAGTTCAGTAACACTTGCTACAGAAAGTTAATGTGGCTGAAAGAAATTGTCATGCTTGAGTGATTTAAGAAAGGCCCTAGGCATTACAAATGCTTAGAAAGAAAATCAAGGTACAAGTTTATGGGAGCTAATTGCTAGTACTTACAGACTGATTTCTAATTGTAAAAATGAATTAAAGTGTTTTCATATTTTTTTTTCAATTAAGGTACTCCAGTTAATGCTTAATTTTTAGTTAATTGGAAACTTACAACCATTGCATCTAGCAAAATAAGTTCAGAGTCCAAACTGTACAGCACCATTTAACAGATTACCATAACATTTTAGAAGGATCACACAACTCTTGCAAAATAAATTCTTAAAAGGCTGTGAAATCAATTCAGCCTTAACTAGCCAACATACAAGCAGGCCTAAAACAGTAGCATCTTGGAGGCAGTATCTGTGGATGTACTTGTAGGACAGCAAATCTAGAGTAACAACAGAAACAGCTAATGGTCCTTGAGCAGTGATGCAGCCACAGCAGAGAGCAGAGTGACAGCTCTTTGGTCAGTGTAGAAAATTTCCTGCTTCTTATGGTATGTCTGCTCTGCACCATGACCATAGCGCAGAAACCTCTTTCCCACCCCTGACTGAGCTCCTGCAATCTCATGCTGTGAAAAATCCTCCACAAATACCACTGGTTTAATAAAATGTCATATTTGAAGTAGTAGGCATTGACAGCACCACACCGAAACAGCTATTCTACTTCCAGCTCCTGACTATACTATCATTCCTGGTGTGGGACCCACACACAGTTTTGCAGAGATGTGGCCTTCATTTTTTTAAGATGTCAGTTTCCAGCTTTATTCATGTCTTTCCTCATTCTCTGGTCCTTTTGGCCTCCTCTCTGAAGAAGGAGCATGCATTTCTCTTTCCTGTTACTGTATACCAGTTGGTGACATGAGGTCACCCTGGATATTGAGCATACACCATCACTTCTAACAATGAGAGTAATCTATTTTAATTTTTTTTCCCTTAGAGTGTTTTTAGTGTTGCACTGGTGTTCCCTTTTACAGCTGTGATAAGCATCACACTGAAATTTGGTATTGGGGTTTTCTGTAGACTTTACAGAGCTCAAGGAGGGTAATCAAGGATACTATAACATCACTGACATTCCTTGTAAAGAGCAAGAGGAGTTTTACTGAGACTGTCCTATTGAACCACCACCTGATAATTTCACTTTAACTAGCCTTTGGCTTCATCCTGAGAGGTAGGAACCAAAAGTATAATTATACAGACCAGAGAATAACATTACAAGAAGGAATTTCTTTTCAGAGTAACTAGTGTTCCACACATCAAGGGCAAATAGAAATATTTTTTATTAACACAGCCAGCTTGAGAAACATGGAAAGTGGCTTTGGTACAGAGCAACACTGTAATATAGCAGGTTGCTTTAATGATGAGGACAGTATTAGACAGAAAGAAAGCAATTTTTCCTTGCTATCAAATAATGCACTAACATTTTTCTTATGCCAACAGTCAATTTTCAGCTAATCCTTCATGTATCTTTTCAATAAATCTGAAAGGGTACAGAGGAGAATGCAGAAATGGGTCCATCTTTGAAGCAGATTCCTGAGGGCTAATATTATTTTTTAAAAAATCTACCTCTGCTTTACAAAATTCTGGGGAGTTAATTTTTGTTCTATGTTCAAAGCCTGTGTTAGTTGACAGAGGAAACTGAGAAGAGATGACAACCTTTTTTCACTTGTCCCCTGTGACAGGACAAGGGCAATGTATTCAAACTAGAGCACAGGAAGTTCCACCTCAACATGAGGAAGAACTTTACTGTGAGAGTGACAGAGCACTGGAACAGGCTGCCCAGAGAGGTTGTGGAGTCTCCTTCTATGGAAGCTTTCAAGACCTGTCTGGATGCCTTTCTGAGTGATCTGCCCTAGTTTTGGTCCTGCTCTGGCAGGTGGGTTTGATCTTCGGAGGTCCCTTCCAACCCCTAACTTTCTGGGATTCTGGGATTCTGTGACATTAGTTGCCTTTTTATTTTATTTAATTTTTTTTTTTCAACCAGCCCGGGGACAGTGATGTTGGCTGAGTGCTCACATAAATTCAAAGACATGTTTTACATCTGATGCTAAATTCAGGCCTTGTTCTGGACATTCTCTGAATGTTCTCACCGATTCAGAAAAAAACTGAGAAGCTGCTCAGCCTTTTGCTCTGCATAGCAGTGGGTCTTATCAATGCACCCCGGGAGGAGCTACCCAGGCCCAGCAGGACAGGGCTGCCTGGTTGCTTCTTGGTGACCCGGGCCAAAGGCAGCAGTGCCTCCTCATTAAAACCTCCTTCTTTTAAACTGGTGTCATGGGAGGAAGGGACTTCATGTTTCTGCTTCTAGATAAATTGCAATACAAACTCCTCATGTCTCTCTTAGATGATCGTATAGAAAAGTCCTATCCGCATTCATTCATGAGTGTCTTGCTACTGGGACACTGAAAGCCACTTACACGAGTGGAAAGTGCCCATAGGCACCACTTGAACTGCAGACTATACTTCTAGGGCTTAAGGAGGACTTTGTGGTTTCTTGGCCTTTATCCTGATTCTCTAGTGCATGACTTTGTGGAATTCATGGTTACAAGCACTTCACCCTGCATTGTTTCTAGGTGGTTAGTGTGTGAGTGATGAATAAATTAAGCAGATACTTAAGTGATAAGAAAGAAGTAAGCAGTCCTGTTTACAACCCTCATTTCTTCTATAAACTGTCAGGAAGCAAGTTAATCAGTCATTTAGGAAGTTCAAGGCAAAGTTGAAAGTTAACCTGTTAATGGTGTTTTCCATTATATCAAAACTTCTTTTCTGTGTTACTGAACAGACAAAAGTTGGAAACGAGTTGGGAACTTAAGACAGGTTTAAATACAGAGTTGGAAAAAGGGAAACATTGCTGCAGGCTTTTGTTGAACCATTTCCCCAAAACTCCACAAATACACTAGCTGATAACTTGGCAGATTGCTGGCTCTGTTTGATTGAACACTGTAACATGTATATATACAGTATATACAGTAACATGATATATATTTATTAGTACCAATAACTCCCTTTTAAAATCAATTCAATGCCAGTTTTTAAACACACATGACACTTCTGCAGCAGGGCAAGAATGTTTATACAGGCAAGCTGTAGCTTCCACTTTGTGATTTCTTCTTCAGCCTATGTTGATTGCTGTAATGTACTAGCTGGAGAAGTTCCCAAGGCTGATATGTTGGCTGATACAGATCTCACTGCTCACAATACATGTTTCCCTCATGAAGACATACATACTCAGCTAAACCAAATTAGTTGGGGGAAAGTTACTGTAAAATTAAAAAAAAAGAACTAAGTGCAAATCAATCCAAATATTATCTGGTAAGAAAAAGGAGAGCTCTGCAAAGGAGGTAGCTGAGGTGACATGGAGACAGTGTACCAAATAAATAGCTATTAATGCCAAAGGTATCTCTCTGCAGAGAGAGTAGGTAGACAATGCAAACTGATCCCGAGCACTGTGGAGGAACCTACACAACCATAAGGAAGTTGGACAAGGAGTAAAACTAGAAGTTACAGAGATAGAGCAAGTGACTCAAGACTTCTGGAGAAGTTAAAGAAGTAAAAGGATTGTGTAAAGCGGTGAGGGGATCAAAAAGCCTGGAGACACTAAACCCTGGCCAGGGCTAAGCTGTATGACACTATGGCTGAGCCAGTAACAAACACAGAAAGGGTTCCTGAGAACTGGCTGTGAAGTAGGAGATGGTGTTGAAAGTAGGAAGTGTGCATTCCAGTTTAGTGCCAAATCCTGCTGCCTCCTCCAGGTGCATGCACCCTTGAGAATCTGGGTAAGCAGGATAGCAGGCAAAGGCTCAAGGGACACCACCTAGGGAGGAATTTCAAGGTGAAATGTAATCACTGGAAATGCGAAAGTTGAAGGAAAAGAACTGTTTGCAATAGCAAAAGTACATCAGGTTGTAGTGGTGTGAAGCAGTTGCTGTCTGAGATGTTTGCTGCTCACTTTGTTACTCACAAAGTGTGACATACACTCGCAAGGTGACATACACTGTTAGCAAAGGTAATCTCAGTCTTATGCTCATTCCAAATATGTTGCTTTTTATTGAGCACTGCAGTCACAATACAATCATATGATTAGAATATTACTGTTACATACTATAGTATATTCCTATTACTGATAGCACAGTTGTTCTATTGCTGTAGAACAGAAACTGCATATACTCATCAATAGGATAATTGCTTTGAGAATAGACGGATATAGCAGGTAACCCAGTTCAGGATTTACACTAACTTCATACAAGCTAGGTATACACATATGTAAGAATATATATGAAGATGTCTATTCATACATGTATGTATTTAATATCCATATGGATACAAGCTATGCTTTATTACATTTTTAAGCATTTTATGTTAGTTGTTTAATGAGCAAGCTGCTTACTCATGTGTGTTATTTACATTTTTGAGCATTTGCCTAAGAATGAGTGGTATTTTGAACAACTGGTACAAATCAGTGTTTTGTGGGAGAATAAAAATACACAGGGTAAACCTTATCTCTCTCATCGTGTTCCTTAACTGGACATTAAGGATAAGAGATTGATTTGAAAATGTTACTTTTGGATGATCTAGCATTAGACTCCTTAGATTATGCTATTGACATTGGACACTAGCAAACATGTTTGGATTAAAGGCATTTGCTATGATTAAACATATTATTATTGTTGGCATACCCTGCCTTCACTTG